ATTGGCATAGAAAAAAAGCGAGCCAGAGATTAAAAGCAATTCGGACTTCCATAGGATACAGATTCTTCCTGCTCTTAAAGCATTTGAACTTCAGACATAACAAACCTTGTAAATCTTGTCGCCAGGAAAAAATTCCGATCGAAGAAGTGTTTGAGCAGCTGAAATGTTCAAGAACAGGTCTAACATCAGACGAAGGAGCCAATCGGCTCCAAGTGTTCGGACCAAACAAATTGGAAGAGAAAAAGGTACGTTTTCATCGACTCACACACCAGTTTCTCTCTTCGTGTTTGTGTGAAAGCAAGTCCATCATATCTTCGTCTTGTTTCATGACATCAGGAAAGCAAATTTTTGAAGTTCTTGGGTTTCATGTGGAACCCTCTATCCTGGGTCATGGAAGCTGCTGCAATAATGGCTATAGCTTTGGCCAATGGAGGAGGAAGACCTCCAGATTGGCAAGACTTCGTGGGTATCATTGTTCTATTGCTTGTCAACTCTACAATCAGTTTTATTGAGGAAAACAATGCTGGAAACGCTGCTGCTGCACTCATGGCTGGTTTAGCTCCCAAGACCAGGGTCATAGTCAAACACCTTACTCTATATATTCTTTTCCTCGAGCTTCTGTAAGACTGGTTTAACGGCCTCTTTGTCTTTACAGGTTCTGAGAGATGGTCGATGGAGTGAACAAGATGCTGCAATTTTAGTCCCAGGAGATATAATCAGCATCAAACTAGGAGATATTATCCCAGCTGATGCGCGTCTTCTGGAGGGTGATCCTTTAAGTGTTGATCAGTCTGCTTTAACTGGAGAGTCTCTTCCGGTAACAAAAAACCCCTCTGATGAAGTATTTTCTGGATCAACTGTTAAAAAGGGTGAAATTGAGGCAGTTGTGATTGCCACTGGTGTCCACACCTTCTTTGGTAAAGCTGCTCATTTGGTGGATAGCACCAACCAAGTTGGTCACTTCCAGAAAGTCCTCACAGCAATTGGTAACTTCTGTATTTGCTCAATTGCTGTTGGAATACTGATTGAGCTATTAGTGATGTACCCAATACAGCATCGAAAGTACAGGGATGGAATCGACAACCTTTTGGTTCTGTTGATTGGAGGGATCCCAATTGCCATGCCTACTGTCTTGTCGGTAACTATGGCTATCGGTTCTCATCGGTTGTCTCAACAAGGTGCAATCACCAAGAGAATGACTGCTATAGAGGAAATGGCGGGAATGGATGTTCTGTGCAGTGACAAGACTGGGACTCTCACGTTAAATAAGCTAACTGTTGACAGGAACTTGATCGAGGTGTTTGCTAAGGGTGTGGAGAAGGATTTTGTGATCCTTCTTGCTGCAAGGGCTTCCAGAACCGAGAATCAGGATGCCATAGATGCTGCAATTGTTGGGATGCTAGCTGATCCAAAGGAGGTATAGAATACCCGAAAAGCCTCTTCTTTAAAATTGGGATATGAGTTTTACTGATGTTCACTATTTTGAATTGGCTAGGCTCGAGCTGGAATCAGGGAGGTTCATTTTCTGCCATTTAATCCCGTGGACAAGAGGACTGCTCTTACATACATTGATTCTGACGGAAGTTGGCATAGGGCTAGTAAAGGTGCTCCCGAGCAGGTAAATAAGGGTGTCACTGGCAGCGCCGTGTCCTGTGATGAATACGAAGACTAGCAAGATTTATTCAGTGAATTGAACCATGTTTTTGTCATGTTTTTAGATTTTGAACCTTTGCCACAGCAAAGAGGATGTCAGGAAGAAAGTTCATTCATGCATTGATAAGTTTGCTGAGCGTGGACTTCGTTCTCTAGCTGTTGCAAGACAGGTTTGCTAAGCTGGTATTAAATCTTGACGCGTATTCCTACCTAATCTGAATTTCGTTCCCTCATTATTTGCTTTGGTTATTTGTCTCCAGGAAGTGCCAGAAAAGTCAAAAGATGCTCCAGGGGCACCTTGGCAATTTGTTGGTTTGCTACCTCTGTTTGATCCTCCTAGGCATGATAGTGCGGAGACCATCAAAAGAGCTCTTAACCTTGGTGTCAATGTCAAGATGATCACCGGTAAGATTAGATGTTTTGTCCATATTTTTCTTTTTTGGTAAGCAATAATGGCAGTTAGGATATGTTACTCCAAGACTGCTGACCAGGGTACCAATGCCATACCCGGAATCTTAAAACCGACTAGTGTTAGTAGTTATGTATACATTATTATAACTGAGACAACCTTGTAGCTTGGAATGGAATTAGAAATTGAATGTTGTTGTCTTCTTCTATAGGTGATCAGCTTGCCATTGCCAAGGAAACTGGGCGAAGACTTGGGATGGGAACAAACATGTACCCATCTTCTTCATTGCTGGGAGGAGAAAAGGATGCTGCTGTTTCAGCTCTTCCGGTTGACGAGTTGATTGAGAAGGCTGATGGATTTGCGGGAGTCTTTCCTGGTATGTACTTCGACCATATCTGTGTGTATGTGTACTGACATGTTGAACATTTCTTCCAACATTTTGATGTTTTGCTTTTTTTTTTTTTTTTTGTATATGTTAGAGCACAAGTATGAAATAGTGAGGAGACTACAAGAGAGGAAGCATATATGTGGAATGACAGGAGATGGTGTGAATGATGCACCGGCATTAAAGAGAGCAGATATTGGAATAGCCGTTGCTGATGCTACGGATGCTGCTAGGAGTGCTTCTGACATTGTCCTCACAGAACCTGGTTTGAGTGTCATCGTCAGTGCAGTACTCACCAGCAGGGCTATTTTCCAGAGGATGAAGAACTACACTGTTAGTTCCCTTGCATAACTCATTCTATTATCGTAGCTACTATTTTTATGGTTTAGGGTGTCTAATCTAACATCTTTTTTGTTATGAATTTGGCAGATTTATGCTGTGTCCATCACCATTCGTATCGTGGTGAGTATGCAAATAGGTTCGCACAAAAACATATTAATATTAATACTTGTAAAGAAATCTTGTAATTTATGCTAATTATCATTATTATTTTGCAGTTTGGTTTCTTGTTTATTGCGTTGATCTGGAAGTTTGATTTTGCACCCTTCATGGTTCTGATTATTGCCATACTAAATGACGGTAAGATTCTTCAACATAATCGTCATATAATATGAACAGTAGAGGTGTTCTCCGAATTTCTGTGTGCAGGTGCCACTATGCACGGGATATAGATATATTAGTCTGACATTAAATCTCTCTGTTTGTTGTTTTTTTTTTTTTTTGGTGCATAGCACAAGGGTCCATAACTTAACAACTGATATGGAATTATTGGCCTCATATCTTTTAACCATGGAACCTTTAGGAACCATTATGACAATATCCAAGGACCGAGTGAAGCCATCCCCACAGCCCGACAGCTGGAAACTGAGGGAGATTTTTGCTACTGGCGTTGTGCTTGGAGGTTATTTGGCACTAATGACAGTTGTATTTTTCTGGGCTATGTACGATACGGACTTCTTCTCGGTAATATCTCAGACTTCATCTTTTACTCTTAATAAATAGATCACAGAGCAGCCAACAACATCAAAATAAGAAAAAAGAACATGACATTATTCAACAATTGGAGCTCTGAGAGTTATATCTTGAACTCTTGCTGTTTCAGGACAAGTTTGGTGTGAGGTCTCTGAGACACAGACCTGATGAAATGATGGCAGCCTTGTACCTTCAAGTCAGTATTATAAGCCAGGCCCTGATTTTTGTCACCAGGTCTCGTAGCTGGTCCTATGTTGAAAGACCTGGTCTACTCCTTCTCAGTGCTTTCTTGATTGCTCAGCTGGTAAGTAACTTCATGATTGAAGCAGCCTCATTTGGTATTGTCAAACATCATTCAAGTGCTCTGTATGATATAATCATTCATTATGTGATTGACAGGTAGCAACTTTGATTGCTGTGTATGCACAGTGGGGATTCGCAAGGATTAAGGGAATGGGATGGGGATGGGCTGGCGTAATCTGGCTCTACAGTATAGTGACATATATGCCTCTTGATTTGCTCAAATTTGCTATCCGCTACGTTCTCAGTGGGAAGGCTTGGGATAATCTCTTGGAGAACAAGGTAGCTTCTTTTTTCATTTCTCTGTGATGGTGTAATCCAGTGTTCAAGATTCAAAGTTTTCTCCCGCTTTTGGAATCGCAGACTGCCTTCACTACCAAGAAAGATTATGGGAAAGAAGAGAGGGAAGCACAGTGGGCGGCTGCACAGAGAACTCTTCATGGTCTTCAGCCACCAGAAACTGCTAACCTTTTCAATGACAAAAATAGCTACCGCGAGCTTTCAGAGATTGCAGAGCAAGCCAAGCGGCGAGCTGAGGTTGCAAGGTAACCCTATAACTTGTTTAGCTTCAAGCTTAGTCTTCAGAGGTTGTATTGTATAGTTATTCGAGATTTTTTTCCCCCTTTCTTTTTTTTTTTTAATTGGCTTTACAGGCTAAGGGAGCTACACACTCTTAAGGGGCACGTTGAATCGGTGGTGAAGCTGAAGGGACTTGACATTGATACAATTCATCAGCATTATACAGTGTAAGGAGCTTGGAAGCCTTGAAGAAGAAACGTGTGCGCTTGTCCAACAACTAATGTGACTAGTATAATGACGAAGAAAGCCCTGAGTTAAATCCATTTTTATATTAGAACGGTAGTTTTTTTTTTTTTAAAGAAAATTTCTTCCGTTGTAGGGAAGCCACTAGTGTGATCTAGTGGATATTTGCGAGAACTCCCTTTCACTTTTGGTACCAAATAATACCATTGTTATGGAAGGGTTTTACCTATATCCTTTCTGCTATGCGCAACTAATGCTATTTAGGTGACATTACAGCTCCTTATATTGTTGCTTATTAGTTTTATCAGCCATTTACAGTGTTCATTCGTGGAATTGAGTCATTGAGAAGGCCAAGGTGGTAAAAGGAGATGCATGCAACTCAATATGTACGTGCACGCATAATTTGCCCGAGTCTGGCCAGTCACTTCCTTAAACATAACACTTTGCTCTCTTGGCTAATGATCTCAAAAGAAAATTATATTATAATTCAAGTGGTAAAGCTTGCATGATAAAATGGAAACACTCTCGATGGCCAACAAAACTAAAATGAAGCAAATCGCTAATGAATTTTAAAGAAAAAAAGTAAAGAAGGAAGGACGGTGATCTAGTTTACCATGGTACAATCACGCCTAATTTCGCCCTGATTTCCTCTTTTGACCCCAATCCGTCCTAGTTTTGTCATGGCAGTAACAAAAGCCTGATCAAAGGCTGTGCTGTTGGATGCAAACAAGTTAACCAACTTTCTTGATCTTCTATCGGTAAACAAGACTTGATCAGAAGTTAAGAGTCCTTTCCCTTGCCGAAGATTCTTGAAATACTGATTATCAAATATCCAAGGCGTAGTGGGGTCCAAGCTTACGGCTACTCTGGGGTCTACATTTGTTGGACACATTTTCGTGAGCTGTTTTGCATAACCCAAATCAAGTGTTGGATCAATTCTGCTCCTGCTTCTGAATCTGTAAATGCGTCTAGAGAATTGACTGCAGTGAGAGAAACCTATAGTATGTGCTCCTGCAACAATCCATTTCAGTTCAGATTACAGTCTGTATCCAAGTAGTACCTTTTCTTCTTTTCATTATAAATGAAGTACCTGATAGAGCAACTAGATCTGCAAGAGTGAGGCCATGTGAAGCAAACATTGCCTTCAGCTTTGCTAATTTGAAATTAGCATGAGGAATGCTGTGTCTCACACTGGCTTTCGAGGAGATTCTCCCATCAAGCCGTCCCAGCTCTACTGCATAAGACGGTCCTCCTGTCTGCAATCAGTTAAAACTGTACGCAAAATCACAATGCTATACTTGTACTACTCTCTGGACAATGACTACTCATTCTGATTGATTTGATTGAACACATAGAACTTTTCTGCAATTTTCTTCCTTGTTTTGGTTAACTATGTCCCTAGGTAACAAAGGGCATGCTTACTTACCAGTGTAATAACATCCCTCGTGGCCAATGCCAATATATCAGCGCATGAAACCTTATATTTGCAGCCAGGAACACTATCAACTGCAGCCTTGGCTTTGATCAGAGTGTCAAACCCGTCACCAGCCAGTGACAGATCGATAGGATTGTCCTTTTCTGCTGCACCGTTTCTCTTAGCCAGAATCACAGAGGCATCACATCCCTATCCACACACACACACACACACAAAATTTCAATGCCAAAAGTTTTAGATGGATGAACGAAAACGGGAAGAAGAGGAAGAAGAAGAAGCCAAAACAGAAGAAGAAGAAGAACTTTGCTGACCCTAACAAAGCAGTCATGGAAGAAAAGCCTAAGTGTAGCAGGTGCAGTTACTAATGTCTGCTGAAATTTCCTTTCAACTGCGGTTCGAACTATTGACTCAACATCTGGGCATGTGTTTCTGTAATAGTCCACTTGAAGTTGGCCAAAACTTGTGGCTATGAGCAGCAGAAAAAGCAGGCTACCAAGAAACAAAACGAAGCTACTCTGGAAACTCATTTTCTTGTGCTGGTTTTGGATTCAGTACTCCACCATGGGTTTATTGGTTGACACTGAGCCCTTAAATAGTCAACATTATTTTGTGTAGAGAATCGTAGAGGGTTAAGAATTTGCCTGAAACCGACCAAGAACTACATACCAACAGAATTTGCCTTGGGAGATCGTGTAAATATTTTAATAATATCTGACAAAGCACTCATTGCTATGCTGCTTAATAATTTTTATGAAGAGGTTGCAGTGGAAGCTCTTGGATTGGTGTAATATCGCAAGTGCGTTTTAAAATATAATAGTCACGAGAGAGAGTTTTTCTGGTCCCTGATGACTGACATAGCGTGTTTATTTCTGGCATATAATACTCGTTCTTTTTGTTGGATACCTCCAAACTGAAGATAGTTGGGTTGTACATTATCTCCGAATATTACGAATTGGCCAAAACTGTGTCATTAAGCTGCCATTAGATGTACCTAGTTTTTTTTTTTTTTTTTTTTAAAAGAGCATGCTTTAACTGCTACAAGGTGCGTTCACCACTAGGCGTTTGCAGCACTTACTGATAGGGATTCCATTATCAAATAGCTCAACGAATGGAAGAATGACACTGGCCACTTTCTCATGTGCCCTCCTTATCTCTCTCTCAGCACACAGAAGGAGACGCATGCTGAGACATTCGCACTTCCAGAAGTATTGCCTATCTTGTGGATACTTACAGGGGAAATGACATTGAAGGACCTTAGATAAAAATACACTAAAGACTCCAAAGAAAAGTAAAATGAAGGATCTAAGTCTTGGCGAGTTTTAGCTGTAAATTGCAAAGATCACCTGTAAATGAGGAATAGTACAGCTGACTTGTGAAATAAGCTAGTCAACCATCAAGACTAACAAAAGATTTTTGAACATTTCACAAGATTAAAAATTAACTATCTATTTTATCACTGGAATGATATTTCCCCCATTTACAACTAATTATAATAATTTCCGACTAATCATTAGGAATTTATAACTCCCTCACCACAAAATCTTGGACATGGTATTTCTTTCGTTTGCAATTTACGCTTACTAATTTATAACTATCTTGAGCAATTTACAATGGATATTGAAGAGTTTACTACTCAACTTGCTAAAATCTAAGTTCCTCATTTGTACCTTTCCAAATTCCAGAGCCTTCAATATGTTCTGGTGCCTTCTGCGGTCCTTCAGTGTTATTTATCCCTACTTACTGTTCTAGCACCTCACCTTTAGATATGGGGTGCTTAAAAGCTTTTGACACTTTAATTGAGGCAGCTAGGTAGATGTCTACTGTCCATTAGCATAGGCTGCGTTTTGCACACTACGTACGTAGCCCTTCATATTTAAATTTTTTTGTCTGGAATCAAGAGATTCCACACCAAGTACATAGTATTTTAATCTACTGGAACTGTAAAAGTTACATGGAAATGCTAGTAAATAGTTAATCACATTTAAAGCCACCCCCATTCCCTCGTTCAAACACTAGAAAAAATCCCATGCCATATATTGCAAGGAATGCAAACTATGAAAGAAAACTATAATTGAGAAAACACTTCATTTTAATTACATTTTAGAGGTATGAGTTTTGTTATAATGGAGAATATGTCTCCACCAGCCTACCGAACAAGCAATACAACAAACAAGAGTAGGTATTGAGAAATCACATGTGGTGCATGCCAAAATTACATAAAATCAACTCTATCCAAATCCACTTTGACCAAGTAATAACTTGATTTTTCTGCTACTCGAACACCATCTCCACCAAAGGTTTGCAAAGATCCAGACTGAAAGCAAGGCTCTAGGAATTTGCTTATTGGTTAAACATCTGCTGAAGAGCATGAGGTAGATTCAATACAATCTCTGCATACGCTGCAAACAGGAAGCAGAATATAACTCTTCAGATTGACACATAAGCTGTATGGCCAAAAAGGGAACATTAAGTTCATAGAAATGAATCAACAAAGTTATACCTTCTGGTAAACTCATGGTTCGTAAGGCATCCTCTGCATAGGTTAGGCGAACGGGAGGGTTAGTTCCAAGGGGTCCATCTTCCTTCCTGTTCAAAGTAGTTGTTGCAGGAGTAATTTTCTTGGATTGGTGCATTGGCCATGCTAGCACTCTGATTCGAGTTGGAAGCACAGAGATAAGATCCGCATATCTAAGGCTGACAGTTACCTTGCTGCAAAAAGAAAAAGAACTTTTTTCAACACATTTTCTAATCACAGTTTCTTAGCATCAGATCGCAGGGAGACCCTCACCAATCAAAATCGTCCAGCACAAATTCAATCATGTGGTAAGGAAGACTATGATACAGTTCTCCAATTTGATTTCCATAAAGTTCCTTTATAAGTCGTACCTGTATAAAGAAACCAAATGAATGTTCCCATATTGTTGGTGTGATACAAATTGATGATATCATTATTTAGTCTATACACTTCTCTAACTGCACGCGTGACTTTATAAGTGGATATTCAGCTCTGTATCCAACAGAAAATTCATGCAGAATATGAAGACGATATATTCTTGTTCCCAAAAAAATCAAAGTTTCTCTCAATGATCACATAGTAGAGACATACATGGGTAGTCTACCTGTTCCCGTCTATCTACATATGCTTGCAGAAGATCTCCGACATGATCTATGAATGTCTGAAAGCAGATCATTGAAACCAATGCTTAGAAGATTGGAAAAAAAACCAGTAAAGCCAACAAAGTAAATTGACCAACCATTGCATTGGATGAAAGCAGATCATTTTCTGCTTCGCGTATGGGCAGAAAAAATGGAACTGTGTGTTCAAGAACAGTCATCTTTTCAAGAAATGACTTGCTCTCAAGCACACAATGGTACAACTCACATGGTTCTCCTGCCAATACATGAAAAGTTATCAAAGACACAATTGAGAGGGAACAGTAATGTAGAAAGATCCAGTCTCCCCCTTTTAAATAATGGCGTCATATTATGCCAAAACAAAGTGCCAGTACTGCCAGGTCCAGTAAATTTTTTAATTCTAATTACCAGCAAAAGATGTCTCATATTGTATGCCAATTCTAGCCCCTTCCAAACAGCAAATTACCTGCTTCCAAAAACTAAACCAACATCAAAGATAGACACAGATAAAACTAATCTAATCTAAGTACAGAAACGGTATTATTTTTCTATTGAACTCCTGTAAGTGCCAAATGAGAATACTATAACCTACAATACTATACTATCTATGCTGAGTATATTTCCTCAATTTTACCAAATTGATCTCAAAAAGCGATAGACTAATTGAGTCTGACCATCTATAGTTGACTAACAGGCAGTAGTAACATCTTTATCATCATTGAAGATCCACAGCTATCCAATGGACAATCAAGTCATTAAAGGTGTTTCCGATATAGATTTGACTCCTATTACTTCTTTGAAAGAGGGCAATCCTCAGCTAACCTCATTCTTCTCATTCAGGCCAAAGATCAAGACAACAGATATAATCCAACTCATCACTCGCGCACATCCTAGATTTAACATGTTTTCACGCACAGCTTACATATGCATATCAATGGATGACTGTCAAAGTTTTTGAATTTCATACGTAACCGCAACTTCTAATCTTCCTCCTCTCATCATCAACTGACATCCCTTTCAAAAGATACTATCCAGTTTTTTAAAAAACTTACCAGTTTAATTACATGCGATGTAAGGTAACAGTCAACTGCTATTGAAAATTAGCTTTGAAGTTATCAAGTCACAATAGTCTCATCAAATGCTGCACGATTCAAGCATGCATCACCAGAATATTACTTGCCTTGTTTCCAATTTTATAAGTAATTTTTTCCTGAGGGCATTCCAGCATGTTAACATCTCCATGCATTGCCTTTCTATCTACCTCCATATGCACCTAACAAAAGCATATATCAATTTGTCAAGCATTTGACCATGCATAATTTAAACATCAAATTTTGATGGTCAAGGAGACTACTGAACTCAAATATCTGAAGATGAGTAAGTCAACAAGGCTGTACCCTCTCTCGTATTGTTGCTAATAGACCATCATTCCACTGTTCGCCATCTAAAGTTACCTCTATTAAAATTAAAAGGAAATAAATTTTTTATACATCAGAAATTGATAAATGGCTGAGAATAACAGATGAGAAATTCCACAAATGAATAAAGACAAAATGGTGAGTAGCTCAGACGAGTATGTTTCAACAAACCAAGCTAGATTCACATCTCATAAGTCTTTGTAGTTAAAGATTCTAGTTAACACGAAAATCAATGTTACCTTCAGTTTGAGATGCTCGTGCAGCTTCAAACTCTTTCTGTAGACGCTCATATATCATCTTGTCAGAATCCCTACAGACCCAGGAACATATCCAAAAACACATCATTACTACTGCGTACACACCCAATCATTATTCTAAAATAATCGCCCTATATGTTTACATGAGAGTAATGCATTATTTCATTCATCAGTGAAAATAGATGAAAATCACCAAGTCTGAAGTGACCAGGAAGCTCATATTTAGATATTTAGGGGCTTTGAAATGTTAAAAATAATCCAAAATGCTGATAGAAATAATCAAAAAGTGAACGAACATAATGACCTTTGGAGAATTACAATATGTAAATCTTGGTAAAAATACATCCATTGTAAAAACCAGCCAAACAAGTGGGTATTTAAGTCAATATATGGTTAACCTATAAATCACTCTCAAATTTCACTCCTATCAAACTGAAACTTCATAAATTAAAGGGGGAAAGGAAATGATCATGAATGCACTTGCAGAATAAACTTTAATTTTGATATTTTCCTCATTCAAAACTTTAAAGTGTATTTTCTAACCCTCCCCCACCCCAAGAGTTAAAGGGAAATTCAAAGCACAAAACTGCCTAATAAACCAAACACGATTAGCAACCTGGTAAATCACAATCAAGGCAAAAAAAAACTCATGCACCTCCAAGATCTTTGTACCTAGAAAGACGCTCAGTCAATTCTCCGTGCCTTTTAAGCAAACTTGCAACTGTCATGAAATAACAAGACAAACTTCTAGGTCAATCACAAAATGGAAGCAGCACTGATGAATACTTAGACTTACATCTAGCCCGTGTAGTCTCCAGTTGAACATCATCATCCTGCATAAAATTCTGATTAAAAAAAAAATCATTAGAGGCTAAACTTAAAAACCATAGTAATGTCATGAAATGGTTAGCTTCATGATCAATAAATTAAAGCTGACCTTTAACATTGAAAGTACATAAAACCAATAGTGTTTAGATTGAGTAAAAGAAACTTGATTCCCCTTGAACAAGGTCGAAAAACCAAACCTTGTTGATAGAAAAAATCACACCGGGAGATCTACCCCTAATTGGGCATAGATTCTGCCCCAAGTCTCATGTAGGATCAAGCAGATTCATGAAAAAAGAAAATTAGAGCTTTCATTTTCATTCCAATAAATCCCATCTTTGTTTCATTTTTCTATTGAATCAGAGTATTCGAAGCAAAAAAAAATAACAGGAATACTACTTCAATTCGAACCAAATATGTACACGCACTATCCAATGCCAAACCAGAAAGAAGATATAAATGGAAAGAATCATCGCAGCACAATTCAAAACTCCAGACTTGATGATATCATAGCTTATACTCTAGCTGCTTGTTGCCCCAGCCTTACCTAGAGATGTTCTAGTGATCTTGAAATGCCAAGCAATCAATTACATAAATGAAAAACCACCGTGGGCTTTCTAGATATATTTGGCAACAATAGTCGAAATTTTTTCTCTTAAATAAAGATGATTCCAACAGAGGCAAATCAAAGCCTAACGCTTACAAGTCAAGGGAGTTTAGATCCCATAACCATCTATAGAATTGGCTTAAAGCACTGTAAGTTAAACAAACATCAATAATAGCGTCTCCTTTCTGTGTTTCCTTCCTCCAGCTAAAACGGACCATAAAAATTGGCAAGTGGCAAAAAAACCAGAATTGACAGCGAGAGATGATAATCTGCAGCAGAAAAGGGAGTTACTTTTTCCTTTCCATTATCGTTTACAGTATTACTCAGAAGTTTCTACCATCAAGTAAAGTCGTAATCCTTCATGGAGTTTATGTTGACATTGAAAGACAGATATTTACATCAACAACAAGAATGCTAGGTTTGGTTTATATTGTGATAATTGCAGCTAATCAATATCCACAAGGATGGCTCAGAACACACTTCAGTCGATCGATTCCATAACTTATAAGACTATGTTTGCAATTATCTCCCATTATGTTTCACTTCTGTACAATTATTTCATCAAAGCAAAGCAATTGCACAACTGCCGAAACCCACAAAAGCCTGAAGGAAGAAAATAAATTTACAATCGTGGGTATAACTTATAAGAATAAATGGTTAGTGAGATAAACCTTGCGAGTAGAATCACCGGGAAAAGGGTATTTTCTCGGTTTCTTCCTCAGAGATTCTTCGATGTCACTCTCCATTGCTCTGCGTCTCCAGCGAATGATGGAGAGGAGGGAATCCCATAAACCTGGTCTGGGTCACCGGAAGTAAAATCTTTTAAAACGCCCAAAAAAAAAAATCCATCATTTTCAAAAAACAAGTAAATAAATAAATAAACATTTTAAATGTTTAAGATAACATTAATTAGTGTCTTTTATTATATCATTATTTTTAATATTTTAATAATTAAATATTAAATTATTATTAGTAATAAATACAGTTATTTAGAGAATAGAAAATTAAGAGGTACTATTGGGAAATTTAAAAGATTATGACATGTTAATTACTCCCTCCATTTAAAAATATAAGATATTTTTAATTGAATCTCACTTCTCAATAAAGTAATTACCCAATTTTAAATTAATTATATCTTTTTATATTTATTTTTATTAAACACTTTGCAATAAATATAAAGTTATTATCAATATGTACACTTTAAAAAAAATCAATGATTACATCTCAAAAGATTAAAAATATCTTATATTTTTTAATATCTATCTTTTTAAAAGATACTTTATATTTTTAAACAGAGGGAGTATATATTTTTATGAGTGTGCTGGGAACTTTAAACAAAATTAGAGAATTTGTTCATCGTTGATGATTACATCGTTGGTTGCCAATTTATTTTGTTTTGTGTTATACTTTCCTTTTTAATTTATATTATGTTATTTTATATGTTTGGAAAAATATTTATTTTATAATTTATTTAACGCCTTTTTTTTGACATAGTCAAATAATCATTTTATTGGCTAATAGTACCAGCTGTTTCAAGATGTTAAAATTTTACTTCAGGAGGTGTCTCGTCTCATAATCCCAAGGTTATTTTTTGTCCCAAACGGCTTGATAGGGATATTTTCAGTGTAAATTATTAAAAGAATGAATGTTTGAAAAAAAAAAATGGCACACATTTTTTTAACAAATAACTAATTTATTTAACATATGTGAATTAGTTATCTAGTCTGTACATTTACGATTCAAAGAGCAAAAATCAACATCAACATTGATGTCCATTAACTAATACTGGTATCATTCAATGTCTTTCACTTTCTACATGAGATAGCTGAGGTTAAAAAATTTCCCTAACCAATGATACATCAATGTTTTATGCAAAACCTACAATAAGACACATTATTTATAAATCAATATCAGCCAATCTAATCGTCTTCTTGTTTCACCGGGGCTGTCCAAGGACATGAATGCAAACACAATTATTAAGCCCAGAAGATTGACGTACTCTATCCCTGTTTTTCTTGTATCCTGAATAACCTGACCATTAATAAAGGACACAGCTTATAGATGTCTTTTTTTTTTTTTTTTTGGTGTGGCCTTTTTTCAGTTTCCGCCGTGAAATATTAGTGACCTTTTTAACAAATGGACCAAATGGGGAGTCGCGCATCGAGCTATACCCACGAAGGACCAGGCCACTATTATTTAATTTTAACAATTTTGCACTAATTATATTTTTATTTTTAACATTGTTCTTCTAATTAATTTGTCTTCCTCCCATTTTATTTTTTAAAGATTATTATCTGTCATGTATCGTACACAAGAAAAATGTAGTTTATATATTAATTTCTACAATTTATTTTCCAAATTATATTATATTTATATGAAATTTCCAATAAATGAATAAACAACTACTTTATTATATAAAAAAATAACGACAAATAAAAATCAAATTGGTTTCCAAATCGAACCACGCACTTGTTCCATTTTTTCTCAATGGCTGCCTTAGAATCCTCGATAGTTGCACCCTTATTTCAGTGGTGCGAATTTTGTTATATTTCAAATTTCGAGTATCCTTTCAGTGTATTTCTTGAACATTTTATTTACCATATATTATATAAAGAATTTTAAATTTTCTGTTTTTTTTAAGGCCGGAGGTCAACATGATTTAATTCATAGTTCATCGAGAATTATATTAGCGACCTTTCTTAAATTCTCTAGTATATAAGTCTTAACAATGTTGATTGAAATAAATAAAGTTCATATGAGTTATCATGAATAAATGTGAGAACTACTTTTATATTTCAATGGATTCTATTTATAAGTAGAGAAAATAGATTTTTTCAAGGGTTAAAGAGTAAAATGCTTCAGAGTTTTTTTTTTTTTTTTATGAGGCACTTGATATTTGCAACTTTTGATAAAACAACTTCGCTCTAAAACTTAAAAAAAAAAAAAGCAATGTCATCTCACTGTTAACTCTCACAAAAATTAACTGTTAAGTCTTGTGATTTGACACAATAATTTTACACATGTCATTTATTCTCTTCTTCCTTCTTGTTCTGCTTATTCTTTGTCCTCTAACAACACAATTGATTTTGAAGCTTAATGAAGACTTGTTATTACTTCCACATCAAAACCCAAACCCTCGTTGGAAAACTTAGAGACAAGTCAGACTAATTTTTCAATGTTGCTCTTGAAAGCAAAGCTACTAAAATCCCTAAGAACTTTGGTCGAGAACTCAATAAACATCTAAAACTTAAAAACACTTACTGATAAGCTACATCCACAAATATTGAGCACAGATACACTCCTCTGATGATCACCGCGACCATGGACCCCTTCTTCAATAGTTGGCATTAAGGAAGCCAATTTTAAACTCAATAAGCACATCAAAACCCCAGTGCCATCAACCTATTGTTTGGTGTTAATAGTTGTGCTTATTATTATAGCACTTAAAAGCGTCTCTTCGCCTGATCACTTTTATACCCAATGCCACATGCTCAATACCTCCATGCCTTAATTCAACTAGCACACCGTCCTATGATGTAGGCAAATTCATTGTGAGCTGTGATTTAAGCTTTAAAACGACTTGGTACCACGATGGAGAATAAGGACTATGTCTCTTTTAAGCTGTATTATATTATCCTTTATTTTACATCATGGCAATTTAGAGTTTTGACTTTGAGAGTGAGTCTGGACTTGTTGGTGGCTATGCTATCATTGTTGACGATGTTGTGATGAGTTTTCATTGATGGATGGCTAGCATTGAGGTGGTTGATGAAGAGAACAATTTAATTGAATTTTGGTTTATTTATAGATATGGACCTCAAAGAAGCTTTGGAAAGCCTCAGATCTTTGAAGTGTGCACTGAAAAGGAGGAAAGAAATAATCTGAGATGGTGACTAAGCTTGCCATGTCAATGTTTCCTTTGGTCAAAAAATATTGTTTGATGATGAATTAATGATAGGATGACATTGTATTTTTTTTTAAAGTTGGATGGTGTCATTGCTCCACTAAAAATTAAGGATATTAAGGACCGTGGTAAAAATATTTTAGGATAAACTTACCATTTAACTCCCATTTTTAATAATAGTTATGAGATATATTATTAATTTTTTTTATCACAAGCTTTACCATATAATTCCATTAAGTATAGAGAGAAATTTATTATTAAAATATGTAAATTTAATACGAATGAAATTGGAAGTTTATTAAATTCTTAAAATTAGTCAATGAATTTTAAGATTTTTATTGATTTCAATAAAACACATTAAAAGTAATTTTGAAATAAAAATAAAGAGTATATTATATGATAAATAATTATCCCCATTGAGAAAAGTTAACCCACTTTTAAAAACTGAGCACTCTCTCTTGTGTTCCTCATTGTCCCCGGCTATATTTTATCACACGGTGGCTTTATTATATTGATAAATTTTCAATTATTGGAATTGCCATTAATAAAAATTTAAAAAACACAGAGTATATTCCCCCCCGCCAGTGAAATTGTCCCCGGCTTCTTGCTCGCCTGTTGTACTTTAACTAACAAGATGAAACGGTTTAAACTCAAGCGTGCTTGAGAACTAGCTGCACTGCAAAGCTTTAAAAGAAAAATAATAAGAAGAAAAAACCGAATTTGGGAAACGTGATTGAATAGAATCACCTAAGATCTTTTATTTAACTTAAAAAACTCTAAGAAAATCAGGAAAACCAGGTTTGCTAATCATCATTAATTAAATTAAATTTCAAATTAAACTTAGCGATACTTGAAAATAAAATAAATATATTTTTTAATCGGGAAGAGGAAGACCGGGAGAGAGGGATACCGAGAAAGACGAGTGCCAAAAAAGAAGAAAAGAGGGATAGTAATAGCAGCGATCGAGCTTCACACAGCGAAGTTCAGCACAAATCTGCAAGCAAAACACCTCAATCGCAGAAATTTATAGAATTTCGAGAGAGAAAAAGGAAAGGAAAGAAAAAGTAAGAGAGGGCAAGAGAGAGAAACAGAGCGAGGCTTAACCGGAGGAACTTCAAAGATTGGAACGCAGTTTAGTGAGGTTCGATTTCTATGCAATTCCTTAACCTCTCTAAGGTCAGGGCTCAATCAATGCGTAAACCCTTTCATTCTCCCCATTACACCTGCAAGCTTTAGACTTTGCTCCTCATTGTGCTTCGTTCCATTGCAATTCGTGTTTTGTTGTTCTGTCGGGACTTAATTTTGTCCAACTCACTGATCTTCTCCCCTCAACTTCAAATTTCGTTTCTGTAAGTTCAAAGCCTTTTGAGTTCGGTCAACCAATGAGAGTTTGAAGTGGTGCAGTGATGTGATGTTAGCTTCGTGCTGTTCGAGACAAGCATGGTGTTTTCGGACCCGAGTTTGATGATTCAAACATAGGGTTTTGATTTACCATGACATTCAATTGATTAAGTTTGATTTGCAGAATTTTGTGCTTGGACTTTGCGAGTTCCGCTGTGGTTTGATCTCTAGGGTTTTGCTGTCGGGAAGATTAGATTTGGCTTTGCATTGTGTGGTCTATTGGTGCCTGAATTTGGGAATTTTTTTCCTTAAGGGCAACTATTTTCCGGGTTAGAATTGGAATTTCCTATGGGGCTACTTAATTAGCATGACTTGTGCATCTGGTTATTCTGCCACGCAGAGCTTGGCGCAATTTACTTGTATTCAATGATATGGGGGAGGGGAAGTTTAGAGTTCTGTGGAAACAGAAATGCAACCCCAACAGAGCTCAAGGATTGATTTGATTTAATTTACTTGTATTCAATTTACTTGTGAATCTTTAAGCAGTGTATGAATCTTTCTATCGAAAAATGCAACCCCAACAGAGCTCAAGGATTGATTTGGGTGAAATAAAAGCGCAAATGGTAAAGAGGATTGGTGGTGATAAGTCCAAACGGTACTTCTATTACCTGAACAAGTTTTTGAGTCAGAAGCTGAGCAAGAATGAATTTGATAAGTTCTGTTATCGGTTACTTGGGAGGGAGAATCTTCCATTGCACAATCATTTTATGAGATCAATTTTGAAGAATGCATGCCAAGCCAAGACATCTCCTCCAATACCTCCATCTGGTCCCCTGAAGTCTGGAACACTTGCAACAACGATATCTCCTGGTAGAGAAGATGGGCATGAACACAGTAGTTCCAGCTTCCAAAATCAAAGTCAAAATGTATCCATTTGGTCAAATGGGGTTTTTCCAGTGTCCCCGCGTAAGATGAGGTCCGGGATACGTGATCGGAAGAATAGGGATAGACCCAGTCCCCTTGGACCAAATGGGAAGGTTGATTCCATTTCACACCAGTCCCTAGGTACAGAAGACAGTGGTAGTAAGGTTGATATGGAGAATGGGATACTTACTCCTCCATGTGATTACCAAAGACCAGTACAGCAACTTCAAGCAGTTGCTGAGTTGCCTGAAAGTGAAAGGCGGGATGCAGTCGAGCGTTTGGCTGAAAAAGCAAGAGTTCATGGTAAAGGGCTGCCCGAGTTATCAGTTGTTGAAGATGGGGAAGAAGTAGAGCAGTCAACCCACTTATCTAGACGTCCCTTGCTAGCACCACTTGGAATTCCGTACCACCCAGCAAGTGAGGGTGGAGCACGCAGAGCCTTGCCTGTGGTTAGCATGGGTGATTTTCTTAGTTGTTATGATAGTGGCTGGTTGTCTGACACAGAAACACTGAGAAGGCGCATGGAGCAGATTACCACAGTACAAGGTCTTGGAGGTGTTTCCATGGAATGCGCTAATATGTTGAATAATATGCTGGATGTGTATTTGAAGCGTCTAATTAGGTCATGTGTTGGCTTAGTGGAAGCTAGATCAGCAAACGAGCCAAGGAAGACCTCTTCCCTGAAACAGCAGATTCAGGGTAAGGTCATCAATGGCCTGTGGCCAAGTAATAATTTACATGTGCAGAGTGCTGGTGGATCAACAGAACCCATGCTTGATCGCAGACCGCCATGCTTGGTATCTCCTGTAGATTTTAAAGTTGCCATGGAGTTAAATCCACAGCAACTAGGAGAAGATTGGCCGTTGCTATTGGAGAAAATTTCTATGCACACGTTCGAGGAATAACACTTATAAGATTTGTCTTTCTAGGCCAAAGTTGGGTCAATTTCTTCTGGTTCGACAATGATAGGTGATCATCAGCATTCTCATTCGTGTTCTCATTGCCAGGATGAACCAGATGACTGCAAAGTTCTGTCTCTTCCAGGTTAAAATACTGGGCTTGAGCTCTATTTTGCCTTGTCTTTGCTATTTGTAGGGCCTGGATGGATCAGAAATTTATTTAACTGTAACCAGGGGTACCAACAAAGAGCCCATATTGGTTACACTGTTGTATGTTTAGCATTGGTGTTGGCTTTTGTTTGCCATCCCCAGAGATATCGAGCTTTTTGTTTACTCTAAAGTTGATGAGAAGGAAAAGTAAGAAAGTTTTGCAGAGTTACTTTTGTGGCTGGGATCAGGGAAATTCTCACATGTATAAGAGCTGCAAAGTTGCTGTGTATGTATTTTTAGAATCTAAGGATTGTTTGAAACTCGATATCAATAACACATTAACATATATTAAAATTGCCTCGATGATTTGATTTTTTATGTTTGAAATATATGATTGCACAGATCCCTGAAATGGTGTTTTGTCCTCTAATTTTGTTATGGAAGGTTGTAACTTGTACTTTACAGAGCATATTAATTTTGATGACAATAAATATAAAGTGTATGTCAGCCTTGAAATTTTCAACATCTTGTGTCATTAAAGTCACTTTGTGAATGATATTTGGGATATCTTATTCATTTGAAGTTTTATTACTTTTGGTTCAGTCTCCGCTGAAATGAGACATAATTTTTTCCTCAATGAAGAGGCTAAATTATAAGCTGCTTGGCGTCTAAGTTTAAAATCACCAATATCAACGTATCAATCATCACTCAATCAATCATCATCAATATCAATATGTGTGTGTATATATTCATGCAGTTCATAAGGAGCAGTGTGGTTCCAATTGGTTTGTCATGCAATGCAGGGGACTAAAATCTAGTTATAAGTAGAGCGAGAAGGCATGGAATTCGAATTCAGTACACCTTCATGTGGATATTGTGGGCATATATCTAATTCGTCGTGGGAAAAAGAAGAAAAGAAAGAAGTCTTTACTCTACTTCACACCTGACTAAGCCTTGCTATGGCATTATTGTAAATAGAGTGGCCATATGGTAAGCGAGTGAGTCGCTGAGATTTTTGTGTAGAGATTATCTTGGTGAAGAATTTCTGTATACTGGTTTGAGCTGCCGCATGCAAAACCACTCAATGCTCATTCAATAATTGCAATTGTTCAAGTGATGTTGTTCTGTTTGTTCTTGCTCTGAAACCCCCTGATAGTTGGAAGGCTAACGCTAATTCAAACATGGTTTGATTCTTACGAGCGTGGGTTTTTTTTTTTTTTTGAACGACTTGCGAGCGTGGTTACGTGGACATTCTTGTGCGAAACCACAGGAAATGGAGGCAAGAAACAGAGTGACATCAGCTCCTACATGCAGCCTCGTTAAATAATTTCAGGAAATTGACCTGTTCTGAATAACATGAGCATTCAGGTTTGGGTCAAGCCATTCTGACGAGTTCCCCAAAAGTAACAAGTGTTTGGCAATTCCACGAGTCTGTGAACTTGAAGTTATTCTTTTCGGTTGTTTTGTTCTTGGTAGCTAGTTCTTTGAACCTTTTCTGTTTTTGTTTGTATCTTGCCGTTAGTAACTTTACCTTTGGTTTAGTGGTATGATTTCTCATTTTACTGATAAAAATAAAAAGTTATTCTTTTCAAATAACATTTATTTTAATAGTGAAGAGAGATAGAGAGGCAATAACGAAACTCTAATCTCCATTCGAGTCTCAATCTTTTTCTTGAACTACCTTTTTTTTTTTTTTTCATTCGCAACAAGAGACTACTGCGTTACTCTAAACATCAAGATGTTCTAATAAATTAGACAAAAATAGGCTTTCAATCACAATAAAAACTTTATGAAGGAATTTCCCGTTATATTAAAAAGAAATTGAATGTTAGTTACTACTGGCAGTTCACTCCACTTTTATCATTTAGACTATCCTCTAATCAAAAGTAATTTCACTTAGTTGTGATTAGAGTATTCTATTAGTTCGTTATCGAATCTCAGGACATTCTATCTTAATAACATTTACGTTATGAGAAAAATTGCGTAAAAACCATTACAAAAACTAATAATTGTCCCATTTAGTTAATATCCTAATATCTACGTCACAACATGCAGCATCTAGATAACATGCATGCCAAAAGATGGAATGTTCATTATTACTGGGGATAATTTTAAGTTGAAATATGAATATGAAATCCTTTACATTGCAAAAACCAGATGGAAAGAGGAGGACAAATCCATCAAATTAGAACACGTTCAAATGAAGCTTATCCAGATGGGACACTTAGCAAGTTCCACAGCCAAGCCAGTGCCTTGTGTCACTGACAAGGATGAAGATAATGGCTATGTACATGATGACCAATATGAAATGGCAAGTAACAGCTCTAATTTGTACAAAAAGGAGAGAGGGGGGGAGGGAGGGAGAGAGAGAAGGGGGAGCATAAAAAACAACGAAGAAAAAGCCTTTTAACCATCCCAGCTCACTGGTCAGGAGCGATTAGAGGCAACAGCTGAATTTGAAGGTGCTGCTGATGCTTTGCAGATAGGGCACCAATTCTTGAGGCGCAGCCAGTGTTGTATGCAAGCCACATGATATCCATGCTCACATTGCAGCCTCCCCACTTCATCTCCAACAACATATTCATCCTACAATTCCAGAACACATGCACCTTTTAAATCTTGTCACATAATAAACTTAACATTCATATGCATCTGACAGCAGCTGTGGCTAGCCTAAAAAACTTCATTTTGGGTGCAGAAAAATTGGAGATTTCTCACACAGGTTATACAATTAAAATGCTAGTCGGGCCCTTTTTCAGTTTAGACTGATGTGGCTGTCCTTTTGCCGGCCGACAATTAGTATTTGTCAAGTCAAATCCTTATAGAGGCAACATGCTTCTTTGCATCCTCATTTTTAGCTGTATCGAACAAAATAAGCACGATTCTTCAAAAAAGGCTTCAGCAGATTTGATGAAAATACCTGGCAGATGCTGCATTTGATATCGTCGTTAGCAATATTGCTCCTCTCATCATCATCATCATCTGAAGGGGTAGACTGATAGATGCTTCTCTCAAGGCATTTTGAAAGTGCTTCCTCTGTTAAAGCTGTGCTCACATTACCCATCCTTTCTTCCAGGGCTAAAAGTTCCTGTCATTGGTAAGAAAAATTTGAGAAGCTATAATAGCTAAAATCTGTAAGAAATTTGCACTCATTTAAAACAGTCCCATTCTATATCTTCAGGGAAAGAGTCAATAGACATCCCTTCTCAAAGCCATATCCCTCAAAGTCAATTAATTTTTCACACCACTTATTAAAAACATCAATAAGTACCACTCTTTCTATAAACAGCAATTATTCTTAGGTCATGTCCTTCAATATTGGATAAATAATATGCCATTTTAAGATTGTTTTTATTTAATCCTGCAGTGTATTCAAAACATTGTAAATACGAAAGGAAATTGAATCATATACTCAATTGTAGGATTGCTATGGCATTAACAAACCTCATATGACATATTATCAATATCCATCCGCATGTCTCTATGCTGATCATACAAGTATAGTCCATTAAGGAGGAAGTTTGTCCCTAGTAAATGAATTTCCTGTCAAACACCAAAAAGAAAATGTGAGATAAATGAGCCGGTTGTAAGCTCCTATGTTTAATAAAGAATCAAGAAATACCTCCTCTGCCAACTCTTCATCTTGTTCAATTCTCTCAAGTGCCAATAATACCTGTAAAAAAGTATAGAAGAACGAGTCAACTGTAAACTCCCCCAATTAGGACTCCTAAAAAGAAAATGCATCTCCATGTTTTGCAAGGAAAATTACCTCAGCAATACTGTTTTGGTGCCATCGTCCATTCCAATTTATTAGAGGACAAGTTATGTCAAATTCTGCAGGAGATGCAGGCTGCCCATTGCTTGAACCTGGTCTACTATGGGAGCTCGATCGAATTAAAGGAGACTCAGAAGAAGAATGATGTGGAAAAACAAGTTCATGAGGCAAAGGTGGCATCAAAGCAGAGGATTCATTGGGCTGCATAGAGTGTGCATTGCCATGGCTTGGAAGCCTTTCCCGGGCATTACTGCTTATAGACCTTCGAGTTCTAACTGATGCAATGTTGTCCCTGTGAGGAGGAATATTTCTTGATCTTCTTGGATCAGAAATAGATATACCACTTCCACAACCAGAATTCTGTCCTTCCAATAAAGACCCACTCACCTTCCCTCTGGCAGTGGAACCACTTTCCCTTTCACAATTTCTTCTCTTCATTGTATCCTTCCGTCGATTCATGGTTGAATTTGAATATGAACAACCTGTGGAGCTGACATCATTTATCGAGTTGCACTTGAGGTTCCTCGAATTATATCGGCTAGTACTGGCACGTGTCACTGAGCCAATGCTTTTAGTTTCTTGACCATACAATCCAGGTTGATGAATATTCCTCTGTGACCTAGTTTTTGAAACACCACTAGTGCTTGCTACTTCTGTCAGCATCACGTGATCAGACTCTGCATGTCCCTGTTCAGCTTGAAGCTGACTTTGATAAGTTGCTGATGGAGGGATGCAAACTGAAGCTTCAGGTTCATCCTGACTGCTGCTAGTTTCAGATGAATCTGTCTCTAACCTAGAGGAAAGTGTTTGCTGGGGCCCTTTAGGGGACTTTCTAGGATTACTAGTTCCTGAGAAAGTTCTACATGAACTTCCAACTGCTTGCTTGTCACTTAAAGAGGATTGGGTTGAAAGCCTCAAAGATTTGCCTTTCCTACAGGAACCATTCTCAGCAACTATAGAAGAGTGAATTTTGCTACTGCAATTAAGTCGGCTGCACAACTGACGATTTTGAGGATTACTAGTTCCTGAGAAAGTTCTACAGGAACCATTTCTGAATGCATGAGACATCCCCTTTCTAGAGACTACATTCCTATCAACAGCTCTTTTACCAGAATATTTATCCATCTTTTGTTTACTTTTTCCTTGTCTGCAACAAATTGGCATGTTGTGTTAAATCAGCAAAAACTCAAGGAAGCATCATGTCAGTAGTGCAGATATCAAAGCAAGAAATTCATGAGGCCAAAAATAGAGATAATGGTAAGCACTGATGTTATGATAAATACATGATGGTTAGAAGAAAAACACATGTTTGGATACCATCATGGTGCATGAATAAATTATAAATTTGGATTCCATCATGGACGGGACAGAGTTTTCTTTTTAAAACTTCTGTTATTAAATGAAAGCACACCCAATAAGACATATTTAAGGAAACTGAACGATGTCAAAGCAGAAGTATAAAATCATTAAAGCATTCCAAAGTTTAATAAGAGCTGACTTAGAAAGTAGAGCTAGATTATGAAAAACAGGCATTTAATATGAATAATAAGGAAGAATATCTTCAAAATTCACATGATGAAAGGAGAAAAGCCTAGATGAATAAATCAGATATTAACTTAAAAAAGTCACAGAAGCCAAAAGTAGGAAGCCTGATTGGATTTTTTTAGAAAATCAGACAAAGGACAAGTATACATTCAATACTCAACACTTTTGGCAAGATGCCAACTTAAGTCATTGCATTTTGTAAGCATCCTGATAAAAACCATGTAAAATTTCCAAAACAAGCACGCACGAATATAGAAAGGCAGGCCAAGTTCAGATACTAGAATTCTACATTCCCACGGCTAGCTTGAAGCAGCCACCATAACTTTGTTTGCATACTTGCCCTGTTCTTCTCAGGACTGAAGTTAGAACTTCTAAGCGGGAGTGATGCTTGATTACATCTAATCTAATTATAGCCAAATTTATACGTTTTAATATGGCTATACGTATTGTATGCTGATCAATATTTTTTTAATTGAAAGGCTATATATTTAAGGGTGATGAACACATATATATTTTTTAATTATAGCCAAAGGAGCGATGAACACGTATATTTAAGGGTGGGTAAAAGCGAATGCACGATTCGACCACGATCAATACCAAGAGCCAACAAAGAAACGCAGTTCCTGAAAAAAGAAAAAGCCCTGGGCCGCGCGTGGATACAAAGTACGAGGTGAACGTCTTCAAGAATGAACCATCAACCCGAAAGCGCTTACATAACACAAGCACTCGCACAAGGAAGCTAATGTCTTCTAGTCATCAAATGTACAGTTACAATAACAGAAGAAAAGAGGAAGACGAGGAGCCTGATCGCCACGTGCCCATATTCGTCCCAAAAACGAGGGGTTCGCTTCAATTTTCTCCTCACAATCAGGCAATAGAAAAGACTTCGTCTCCGCGATTCATCGCTTAAAACTCCCCGAAAGATCACAATAAAAGGGAAACCAACAGCAACAAAAAATTTTGGAACCGAAAACCAGAAAGGGAAAAGAGAAGTAAATTAACACAGCAACAAGGAACTGAAATCGAAATCAAAATATTAAGGCGTTTCTAGGATGAGATAGGAACACTGGAACAGAACACATAAACAACATAATATACGACTACGAGGATGATCAGTCATCCATGAGTAGCATTTGGGAGGAGGAATAAGCTGGAAAAAAGGCAACGAATGATGCAAACAGGTAAAAAAAAAAAAACAGAATCCAGAAGGGGCGGCGTGAAGAGATGAACTTGATGGCTACCTTGTTGTTGTTGTTGTTGTTGTTGTTGTGGCGGCGGCTTTGAAACAGAGATAAAAGGAAAAGGGAGGAGGATGAGCTGGAGAGTCCAGGAGAGTCGAGGGGAAGGGTGAAGAAGAATTGCAGAGGGAGGCAACAAATACGTGGGAAAGATCCGATTCTGGGGAAAAAGTCGAGTTGAATTAAGGAATATATGAACAAAGAAAATAAATAAATAAATAAATAAAGAGAAGAGCACGTAGGGTGGGCCGTCCTAGCTGGAAGGCTTGGATGGGAAGAGTCAAACGCGGACGGCTTCGATTCGACTCGGGCGTCCTCCTTCAACAACCTTACGGCAAATCAGTAATAAAGTGGGATTCATGTTGTTGCGGACCAAAACAAGCCAATGTGGCCCCATTCCTTTCCTTCTATTATTTATTATAATGTCAGAATTAATTGTCCATCGATTAAATATTATTATCCTTTTATTATTATTATTTTAATTAATAACATTAGTTCCTTTTCTGAATAAACTAATTCTTAATTTAAATTTATAAATAAAGCATATGAATGGTTTCACAATGAAGTTTTAATTTTACATAAAAAAGTTGTGAGAACTAAGAATTACTGGGAGTGTCCAGCAAAATGAGATATTCTCTCAGAAGATGAAGAATTGAGGTTTGAATTTATATCGTGACATCTACTTGTTTTGAATAAATTATCTTTAATAAAATAATACTTGTGCATAATTAAAAAATAGTTATGAGAAAGGCACCTTGCTAAGAAAAATAAAAAAATCAATCATTTGGTTTCCTATAATTTTAACCCAATTGTAACTCAGTCTCTGAATTTTAACTCATTATAATTCAATCATTGAAGTTTTGATTTGATTGTAAATCAATTCTTGAATTTTACCTCTTGTAATTTAGCCCCTGAAATTTCAAACTTTTAAATATTGATTCATATATTTTTTAAAAATAAAATTATAAAAATTAAAAATATTTTAAAATTTATTACTAATATCTTAAATTACTAAACCTTTTTAATATAAAATTTTAATTTTTTAATTTTTTTAAAATATAGGGATTAATATTTAAGAGATTGAAACTTTAATAATTAAATTATAAAAAGAAAAGTTCAAAGATTGATTTACAATCGAATTAAAATTTCAAGAACTAAATTATATTGAATTAAAATTTAAAAATTGAGTTATAATTGAATTAAAATTATAGGGATTAAATAATTAATTTTTTTTTTTAAATCTATCTTTACTCTTCAGTCTTCGTGATGGCGTTTGTCTTCGATTTATGACATCTTATTCTTATGCATGATTTTTCATTGTGGATGGAACCATCTGAAATATTCTATGAAGAAATTTGATAGGCTGTGGCTGTGGGATCTCTATCTCCACGACCACGTGTGAAAACAGAAAAGCCATGACGTTATTTTCATATGCGAGTGATTTTCCTATTAGGCAACCCACATGGTTTCTTATTTTGTTTCGATCGATTTAACGTAATTAATTTTATTTAATCCACATATATAGACAGGGAATAATAAAATCTCAACTTTACCTCTTATTCTTCTCACGATCTCATTGATACATGTGGTTAGTTTTTCCTCTATAAATTATACACATTTAAACACTTCAAAAGATCCGAATTTTTCTTTTAATAATGCCGGCCACCGCCTCTCGTTCTTAAGCCATCCCGTATTTAATTTTAATCAAACTTAAAAACGATCTAATATTTCTCGTGGGATCTGAATAATATATAGTGGCGGAACACAAATTTCGTGATGGCCAACAACTTTTGGCAGTAAAATTATTCTTTTGGATTTATGCTTTTAGAGGATTCGACTCTCATTTAACGCTCCCTGATTGTTTCTCTTGAATTTTTTCCAAAGGAATTTGATTTGTTATCATGAGCTTACTATTATTGTATCAAATTTTAAAATTAACAAAATAACAAATACTATGAGATGAAGTTAAAATAGATTTTAGCATTGCTTGCCACGTGTCAGATACTAACAAAACAACTGCAATAACCAAAAAGGAAAAAAAAAAAGAAGGTTTGAACAAAACAAGACGGAAATCATGTTAACGTGATAACAATTTAGACATCAGGCGGTTTATTAATTATCATTAGAGATTATATTCTGCCTTAAAACAAGGGGATCAGTGGCCATAACAAAGAGCGATATTCCTTCGATTATAAATACAAGACTTGGTTAATAAATTTTATAAAGATTAAGCAAATTTATTTAGTTAGTTATTTGTTACTACTATTATTATGACACTTTATCGAGAATACCCAAGAGAGAGGGATATTAAATTATGCAGATATCACGTCATATTAAATAAATATATTAAAGGTATTCTTCGCATACTTGTGAGTGAGGTTGTAGTTGATAATATCAATCCTACACAGAGAGAGTTTGGATTAATTTAGATGAAAAGTGATAAATAATTTCAAAATTTTCCAGGACTAAAGAATAAAAAGAAGAGGGTATGAAAGTTACGGCAAGCATAAGGAGCTGAGGACGAATAGAAACAAACGAAAGACTTGGTTGGAATCGTATCTCACATTTTAAATAATTTCATGAAGCGTGTGTGAGAGGCATGTCAGAGTTGCACAACAGCACAAGTTTTCGCAATTCGAATTGTCCTCATCATGGTTTTGTTGTATTGTTTCCCAGTTAAGCTGGCCTGATTGCAAGACAATTGCTTAAATTATGTCTTATAATTTATGCCATATTATAAAGTACGCGTTGTTTCATGACTCTAGTGGTTTTTAACATCGAGCCAAACTTCACGTAAGACAATTTCAAAAGAAAAATCAAAGAAATATGATTTGTGATGGTATCAGATTTTCTATAATAGTATGTAATTAGGCATGATTGAATTGCCATGATTCAACTTCGATAGTAAAATTCTGGTACAAGAAAGTGAATAATAGATTAAACTAGGTTGAACCCAAATTTCAAACATAATGAATTTTGTCAATTAATCGACTAATTAAATCAATCATTGGAGTTAAAATCGAATCCGGATAAGGTCTCCACTTAAGAATTTCAAGAGGGAGTGAAAACAAATATATTGTTATTTAATTTTGGATATCAAATCAATCGGCAATATTATAAATTAGAAGACAAACAGAAATATTAAATGAAAATACGAAAAGGCAACAAATAGATGGATGAAGGTGTTTTGTGAGCCACAAGCAGTGATGTAACGTTTTGTTTTGTTGGCTTTCATTGTTTGATGCTACTGTTCGCTTCTTGCTTGGCCATGTTTCCTTCATTGATCAATTCTTGGATGAAACCACACATTTGGATCACGCTTGCGGCCTATATACGCTTTGCCTCTCCCTGCACACATACATAATAAAAAAAAAAGGAAAAACCCTCCAAAAATATTATTGTGTTGCAATAAATGTTTTTCTACAAATGGAACAATTTTTTATTATTTCTAAAAAAAAATACTTTAATTGTAGGGGATGAAAAAAATGAAACAAGTTTGTTGGCTTTTTAGCCTTGCATAAATTGGTGAGAGAATTATCTCAAAATAGTTGGATTTCAACCAAATATTTAATTGGATGGGAAAGCCTCCATTTGAGATATTTAAATTTGGTGAGTGTACTCAGTATAGGTATTGAGTGTACGTACAATCTGAATTGTTAAAATTCAGATTAATGGTTTTGAATTTATATTCTACTTAAGATTAATGAATGAGTAAACTTGTTTGAACGATTAATCTGAATTTCAATTATTCAGATAGTAAAGGTATTCAATACCTATATTAAGTACAATTATTAAATCTAAATCTTCATTTGGGGGGATAACCTTAGGGGAAAAAAGGAAACGAGATAAAAGTCTTATTGATGTATAATAAGATTTAAAATTCCTTTTATTTTGTCTAGATAGAAATATATGGATACTTCGAGGCTGCCATGATACATAGTAAAGTCAAATTCATTACTTGAAATGTTAGAAACCATTCCAATTCTTATTGCATGAAATTCCAATGACCACGGATTGCTAAGGAAGTAAAGAACAAAAGCTATTTTGTGGGACAAAACTTAGATCATTTACTTGCGTCCATTAAAATCAATTCTCCAATCAAATCTCAACATTTAGAATTTATTATAAATATAATTATACCCATTGTACTTAAGTAAATGATAAAGTAAGGAAAAAAAGGCTGTGTGTTGAGATTTAATGAGATAACAAAGACGGACAAATTGATTTAAATATTCTCCATTTTTTAATTGCAATATCTTTTCAAAACTAGAAATATCTGCAAATTAAAATTGAAATTCAAATTAAAAAATTATAACGAAATATCAAAGGGACCTTATGGCGACGAATAAGCTTCTTTTGTAAAAAAAAAAAAAAAAAAATCCTCAGCATGAAAAGGTGGCAATGCGGCATCATCAATGACCAGTATAGTTTTTTTTGTATGCCCTCTATCATTAATGAAGCAACAAGTATGTGTTGCTTCACTTATCAATGTCATATATCAAATACAATAAACATAGCTTTTGAAGATTTACAGAGCCAATAGTCAGGTTGGCTAAAAAAATAAAGGTAAAATTAGAATAAGAGGAGAACCGTGTTTTGTTCAGACAAAGTTAGAATATAAAAGAGGTACACAAACTGGCACTGTCTTAATTAGCGAGTGACTAATAATTGGACATCTAAAGGGGTGAAGCAATTATAACACATCTCTCAAACCAACATTTGATATCTCTGTATTCTTCTTCTTCCTTTTAAATTCATACATTCTCTCTCGTCAACTTTCTTTTGTCAAGGTAAGTTCAATTTTCTCCACATTGTTTATCCCTAATTTGCACTTTCTTTTTCTTTTTAATTTTGACTTTCTGATCAAGTTTTAGGACCTCGAACTTCATAAAAGACGTGCAACATAATCATCGTCACATGTCATAATTCATGATTCTTTTTTAAAATTATCTATTCTATTTGACCATTAAAGGGGGATTTTGGTGCATGAAATGTGTGATTGGACAACTGTAATTCATTGCTATTGCTTCATCAATATATAGACACCCTTTTTTCTTTGCAGAAATTTTCATTTCTGGTACTTCCTGAGTCGTGACCTATAAATTTGGCTTCGTGAATGAACTATCATAATCGGGTATTGCAAACTTCAATGGACCATCAATACTGAAGCACCTTGCAAGCATGCAAGACGACTAAGGTGTAATTAATTCATCGAATCCTAATTACCCTACTCAAAAGTTAGGAATATCAAGCATAAGAATGACGTAGTTTGTCAATGAAGCCACAAAAATAAGCGTGTCGCAGGAACGTGTCCAGGGATTTATGGGCCCTGGATGGGGTCACCAAAAGGGTCTAGAATGATACTGGTTATCAGCTCTAGCTTTTTTAATCACTCATCAAATTTTTATAATCAAGTGACTCCAACATTTGGCATGGCGTTGTTGTTTATTTGATGATCATGTGCAGGTTTCTTGTGAAGAAAATATATCAAGAAACTGAGACTCAGACACATAAATATAAATAATAGATGGCAATATCAATAGCAAGAGCAAGAGCAAGAGCAAAAGAGAACAGCGCCACTGAGAAGGCGAAGAGGGCGCCACTGTCAATTTCTCAAACCACGCCCATGGGCATCAAAGAGAGCACAAAACCAGCAACCAAAAGCAACTCTAACAATTATAAGACCAAGACATCAGAGAGACAAATCCCAAGTCATGTGAAGCCTAAACTAAGCTGGCGTCCGGAGTCTGAATCCCACTCCTCCTTCAAGCACCTCAACAGTGATGCTGCTGCTCAGAAGCCGACTGTAAGCAGAAGGCAATATGTTGAAAAATCAGCATCGCCTTCCATTTCATCGAAACCCAAGGCCAAGGATCTCTCCTCTTCAAGGCTCCACAAAACGCAACCACTTCTCCGAACATCGTCTACTCCGACTCCATCTCCATCTCCGCTTAAACCTAAAGCCTCTTCCAAACCCACCTCCAAGAAAACGACCTTGAAGACGCCAAAGGCTGCAAAACCCAAACCATCATCATTGTCTACAAAGGGTGAGAATTCCAGCAAGATTTTTCCTACCACCAACAAGAAGGCAGTTGATGCTCCTGTTAACTTGACAAATACTCCAGAGAGTTCTGATGCTACTGTAGAAACCACAAGACTTGAAACTATGCTACTAGTTAAAGAACAAGAGGGTGGGGTATTAAAGGTGGAGGATAATGAGCGTCAAGAGGCTGAAAAGGCATCCAAGATTTCACCACATGTTGGTGGCACTGAACAACATGAGCAGCATCACAAGCTTGAGACTGATCAGCCTAACATTCAAGCTGATGACGAGAGGGTGATTCCTAAGGGGGAGCCAGTTTCTGTGACTGAGGAAGAAGAAGCAAAAGGAGAGCCAAAAGAAGAGAAAAAGAAGGAAGATCATGGAGAGAAAGAGGGTACAAGTCAAGGGGAAAGTAACAATTGGAGACAGCAAGAAGAGCAGCTTGCTACTAATGGAGAAGTTGAGGTCAAGGAAAAGGAAAAAGAAGAAGATGGAGTCATACAAGATGACGAGGGTGTGAACAAAAATGAGGGAAAGGCATTGAAAGAAAATGAAGGAGAGGAGACAGGAACAAGCGAGGATAGGACTGACGGTGATGAACTTGCACCCAAGAGTGAAATTGAAGAGGACAAGAAGCAGCCAACACCGCCAAAGGAAGGAGTAGGGAAGGAGTTTCAGGCACAAACAAATGTGGCCGAAGAGACAGCGAACAACTTGCTGGAGACGAGGAAGAATAAGGTGAGAGCGTTGGCTGGGGCATTTCAGAGTGTGATTGACCATCAAGGCCCATCCAGGTGAAGCAAGCCTCGTGTTTGACGTGAGAGTGCCTCATTGGTACAGATTATCCTTACAACTGAGTACATAAAATTTATGTAAAATATGGCAATACGCGAAAGAGATTTTTTGGATGAGCAACTCTCATGCAAACTCGGAAGGACGTCACCATCCAACGTTGTTAAATATTCCAGGGTAGTTGATTTGTTTCTCGATTAAACGAGCAAGAAATGTCGTTGTGACATTATTCTTCTATTGTATATGTACATATATGCTGTTGTACTTACTCTTTTGTCAAATTAAGGCATATAGTAGGATACAAAGGAACCTTGATCACATAAGAAACTATCCCTGTAACAACTGAAAAATAGCCCAACTTGAACACGACGTTTCATTAAGAAAAAAGGATTTGACTCGGTTTACAAACATGAATTATCATGTTCAGCATTGTAACCATATGTCAAAAAGAATTATCATGTATGCATTGTTAATGGAATCTGTTTAACAGTATAGGAGAATGTGGCCAAAAAAATCCAAGCACTTCGCATCACATTTCAGGGCACTCCCTCCCAGATAGCAGGACAAAAACGGGATAATGTCAAACATGGCATCACTTGCAAAGTTTCAACTTTTTAAAATATGAAGATACCATAGATTTGGGATAAGGTTTTGTTGCAAGGCATGTTGGCATGTTTTCAGGTTGTTCAATCCACAGCTTGTGAACAATGCCACCAGATGTGAGCTTCTCGGACAAGTTTAAAATCTGAGACTCTCCTTTTACTTCAAGCGTGACCTACATTTAAGAAATAATCAGAAATTCAATGAGTAAGCTCAGTGCGGTAAAATTTTAAATCAACAACAAGTGATATAAAGCCAAAACATCAGCTTTTGCAGTTTGGCTCTGTCCCATGATAAAATTTCAAAGCAAATCCACAAAAGCCAAAACTCTAATTTTCTTTTATATAGCTATCAGCTTTTACGCTTTTAGCTCTTATCTTTTCTTAAAAACGATTGATTTGGTACAATTCATATGATCGCCAATGCACTCATGTTGTAACCAGAGGAGAATGAGACGAGAACAAATGAAAGATTTGACACAGCACATCCGCCAAGTTAAATTATCAAACTAGTAAGAAACTTGAAATTTGATACCAAATATGTGACAGTCGATAAAATTCGTGCTTGGCCGAAAGACCCGGTTTTACAGAAACTTCAGATCACCTAGTACATAATGATCAGTCTTCAATCCATCCTCTATCATCTTATAACTATTTCTGCAAGTTTAAGAAATATTCATATCACCAGCCGCCATTTGTAATTGATGTGTGAGAACTGGATCCAAGTTGCATGGCTAAGGGTACCCCTGATTACTAAAATTCCATTGTTCTGAAGATTATACTAACGCCGCAATGAGCTTCCATCTCTGTAAATCGCCACTACAAAAGCAAATTTCTAAATTCTTCCTCTCTCTGCAATTAGGTTAACGAATGAAGAGATCCTGATTTCAAACAGAATTCCAACTCATTACCCAGAAGACAGAGGTGACGGTTTAGGATCAAAAAATAGAATTTCTACTAGCATATTACCCAATGCCACTTATAAGAAGAAACAGGAAAGTCTTACCTTGTGCATAGAGTCTAATTTCTCGGGGCTGCAGTAATCTACGGTGTGAGGATCATCTTTGTTGGACCATACGGCGGACACAGAAGCATGGCAGCCTTGTGTGACCACGCTTCCAAGGGGCCAAGAGTCAATCAGGTCTCGCCGGAGCACCACATACTGCACGAGAACGTCGGCGATTTCCGACTGCGACGTGCCAGTTTGAGAGGAAGCACTAATGGGATCGGTGGGGGGCACAGAAGCAGGTTGACTCATTGAACGCGATCTGAGTCTACTCGCCCGATTCCAGAGAAATGTCTGTGCAGCCCTAACTCTCGTGCTTGAGAAAATGAGGCTAGGACCAGAAGAGGGACCGAGACAGAAACGACCCGTTGAGATGGCGCACGCCATGAAAATCTGCTGAGTTGTAAGGGAATCATTTTTTTTAAAATTAGTAATTTTTTTTTCCGGCGCGCTTTTTCCGACTTTTTCTATGGTTACACTGAAACTTTACGCTTTTTTTTATTATTTAAAGATATATAAAATATTATGTTAAAGTTCACCTTGACCAAAAGTCACCGTAATTTATTCTAGATTTATTATTCTCGTTCAACACGTTGACAAATGGGGTTACAAAGATGAGATGTTTCAAGTGGAAAAACATGTATTCCATCAAAGTTGTCCTGAATTGGTTGAATGTGATTTAAAAGCCCCGAAACATATGAGTGATGAACTGGTAGTTGCAATATTCTTAAGCGCAGCAGGTCATGAGGTAGGCAATACCGCAATAGGATGATGCATGAAAGGTTTAGCATTTTGGAGAGACTATTTACTTGCTTGCAATTGACCTTCAACTACATCAAGCCATCAGATCCTACCTTTCACGAGATTCCATCAAAAATTTGAAATGAGATACAAAATTTCTTATTTCTTTTCTCAAAACTTCTTCAAACTCTGATACAATTACTGATACAATTACACATGCTTGTCCCATCTTTAAATATTTAAAATTAACTTACATAATTTTTTTTATTTTTTTAGAACCCCTGTCAACAACTCTATTGTTTTATTAGCACAGTATGTTGCATGTCAGATTAATGAAATATACATGTATTTAATATGAAAAATATTTTAATTATTTTTAATACAATTTAAGGAAGTTTTGACTCACTTTGGTGCAGTCATGACTACTCTCGTATAATGTTTTTAATGTAATCAAGTTGCTCCTTATTATGTTCACGCGAGAAACTGTCAATGCCACCATTATTAATTAACTTATTTGCATTTGATCATGGTAAATTAACAAAATCAAACAAACTAGTTTACAAAATAATTTTCAAATACAAAAAATGAGAATAAATCAAACAAACCCTAAATGTCATAAATATCTTTTACGTTTTAAATTGAAGCAAGTTTATTTGGTTTCTTGTATTTATTGATATGATTTTATTAATTTCATTAAGAATTCTATTATTCGTTATCAATTAAAATAAAATACCCTTTTTGTATTAAAAAATAATATTTAAAAAATTTCATTGATAAGAATCACAAATAAAAATTTATTCTTTCACCATGTCAAAAAAAAATTATTCTTTTGAACAAGAAAAATATGCACCACTAATAATAAAAAATGTTGAACTTCCAATCCTGGGACATGGAATTTTGCATGTGGCGATATGTTGAAGCTGAAAGAATTGAAGCAATGCGAGGGCAGCCAACTCCTAAGAATGTATGTGAAGGAATTGCAAAACCTGATAGGCCTTTTGAGGTACTATAAGCCTTCTATAAAGAATTATGGAATCATTGCAAGACAGCTCTCGCATGACCCCAGGAAGGTTGCCTTCTTATGGTCCAGGTAAATTCAAAAAGCTTTTGATCATCTCAACCTTTCCTGCAATCACTGGCCCAGTCTTACAACTTCCCAACTTTAATGCTAATTTTACTATCAAAAGCAATTCTTCCATGGAGGGTATTAGAACCATTCTTGTCCAGAACAACCACCCCATTGCTTATTGTAGTAAGGGATTCTCTTTCTCTATTTGTTTCAAATCCGCATATGATCAACAACTCCTAATTTTAGTACTTATAGTGCAAAAGTGGTGCCATAGTCTTCTTGGAAGCCATTTCCTTATGAGGGCAGAACAAGCATGCCTCAAGCATTTGCAACACATTACCACCAACACACGACAATGATTGATTATGAAACTCTTAGGCTTTACTATTATTTAAAAGGCTGGGAGTGGTATAGTCACATAGGAGTTGATGCATTGCCTTGAAGACCCTACCACACAATTTTTCTTTTTTTCAAATAGCAATCCCATTCACTCATGAGTTGCAAGACCTTTCCATAGATTTGGCATTAAATCGTGTCACCAATGGTATGGTGCTAGATTTGCAAAAGGGTCCTTCTTCTCGATTGAAATTTCATATGGTTGATAAGAAACTATTCTACAACAACAACGCAGTTATTCCTCACAATTTCAAACTATGTTCGAAATTACAAGTTGAAACTCACTCTTCTATTAGTGGGCATGGAGTTTTCTTAAAACTTTGAAAAGGCTAGTTGAAATTTTTCTTTAGCTGTTAATGAAAGCAGATGCACGTGAAGAATATGCCACTTGTTGACATCATAAGCATCAAACTTTAGCCCTGATAAGACTTATTTAATCATAACCCATTCTATCTCAAATTTAGGAAGACATTTCTCTTAATTTCATTACCGATCTTCCAATATTGATGGTTATAATGTCTTCTTTATTATGGCAGATCAACTAAGTATGCTCACTTTATTGCACTTGCTCATCCTTTCACTATAAAAAAGGTAGCAATTAATAAGTCTACACGGTGCATCTTATTCTACTATATTTGATAGAGACTCTTTGTTTATGAGCTCCTTTTAGCAAGTTGTTCTAGTAAAGTTATACCAAGTTACACATCAACATTGCTTATCGTCTCTAGATAAATAGTCAAACAAAGGTGGTAATCTAAGGACTCAAGGCCTACTCTTGTTACTTCATTCTTTCTTAGGCCTTTCAAAAATTATCCTTTCAAAGTTCAAGCATTGCATTCCTAGTTTACAATAAGTGTTTCCCCCTTTACATACGAAGACAAGGGAGGTGGATCTCAATCATATACCAACTTAAATGGAGAATAGTTGGTGGGTGTATGTTGGCTAGTGTCATGCAAGCTATAATACACACCCACATGCATCACTCCATCCATTTTTAAAGACATATAGAAGTTCATGTCAAAATGCCACAATCAACATCATAGGCTACAAGCAAGTGACAATAAAATTTATGTAAATGACTCCTAATGTGAGATATTCGATTACACATTGAGAATAACTAAAGGCATTACAATTAGCTAAGTATCTATAGCTTTGCTTGCTTCCATTTTGCCTAAATTTGGGTGTCTTGTAGAAAATATTAAAATATGGGAGTAGGATTATACAATCTCAACAACTGAGCATATAAGTTCAAGCACATGGGCAAGTGGCACATAAAAGTAATTAAGGCTTGTTTTCATACTTATACATTCCATAATTATTCAACATATATTAATGATATACCCACGACTATAAAAAACATGTGAGATAGTTGATGATAATTATACATGATTGTACATCTACCCTTATTACTCTCCTTATAACTTCTAACTAAACCCATGAGTTACTAAATCATATAAGATTAACTTATGTGATTAGATCAGCCCCACTCTCCAATTATGAGAGGTGGCCCAATCAAGGCTTCATACTCACTATTGAAACACAAATTCCCCAATTCAAAACTCATGTGATGTCACTCCACCCAGTATAGGGCTAAACCTAGTCTAAGGAAATAATCAAGAACCAAAACACTGAGGCGTCATGGTGTTGGTGAGTATCACATAGATTTCCATAATGCTCTGTTCTCTTTGTGAACTCCCACCCATCAATAATCATGCAAATCCATACAATGACATTTTCACGATTATAATCATGCTTATCCATCCAAATGATCATATTCATGTTTATAAATTATAAATTTATAGCCACGATTAACAGATCACATTACCATTATCATATCATACTACACATACTTGTGCTTGCATAATCATGTTCATCGTTGCTTATACCATATCATATCATAATCATAAACATACTCAACTCATCATGTAATCTTTCTCTTGCCTACTAAATTATATAATCATGCTCAATAACTTACATCTAGTCGCATCATTATCAATAAGTCATGCTTAAACCATAGAGAAGACCTAAAGCACTGAAGGTGAAAATTCTCGTTCTTAAATCATAGCATCCTAATAAAGGTAGTAATGAGCTACAAATACAAGAGAGGATAGGGTCTCCTGACCTTTATAGAAATGGCAATCAAGGAATGCCCATAGGTCGATGGTGCATAAGCAATCAAATAATTGTAATGGACCACACGACAATCAATGAGAATTCCCTTGAGTATGTATAATTACCTTAACCATTACTCTATTGTTCATTTCTCCATATCATAAGAATTACCCTCACAAAAACTACAGACTTTATCAAAACTTTAATCAATGCCTTTTTTTATTAGGCAGGACCTCCCTCCATGCGACTTTATCAATTAATTTGCTAACATTGGCTCCTTATGTGGGACAAAAACTACCTCTCTTTCAAGGGCAAGTGAATTTAATTTGATATCTTCTTTGTTGTATAAAAACTTAGACTAAATTTTTGGTTTGTTTTCTTTCTCCCTTTTGAATTTAATCACTTAGCATATCCATTTTTTTACTTATTTTTATGGTTGCTTTTAAGCTATTTAAAAAAAAAAACATGTTTGTAGATTTACAAATTATGCTTTTAAAAAATTGTTTGGCTTGTTTAGCTAGGCAGATATTTAAACATGTCTGGCCTAGTCCCTGCATGTTTACTAAACAAGCTAAGTCACTTGATAAGGATAAAAATATGTTATATCAAGCCAAATTTTAGCCAAACAAATTTCACTTGTTTATATAAATAAGTCAAGCTTTATGCTTAAACGTGAGCTTTTAATTAAATAGGTTAAGTATTGCCAAACTAAAGTTTAAATAGGTTAAATTGTCAATTGTGGCCCCTACAAACCTATTTATCTATTTTAATATTTGAATAAAATTGAACTTAATTATATTATAATATAGTAATATCTCCATCCCAAATTATATATAAGATAATTTTTAAGGAATTTTGTTCTCTCAGAATACAAGCCAATTTTTTTCAATAAAGCTTCATTAATGATACTTTTCAACATTATCTTTTAAATGAAGAAATAATTGAAAAAAATAGTGTAGCGTAACAATTAATTATGAAAGGACATTTTTTAAAGTTCATAGTTTTATTTTAAAAAATTAAGTTTATAGGCAGTGCTGTTATGTTTTATTGATATGCATAATCATGTTTC